AGTAGTTGCAGCAGCAGCAGGAGTAGGTAGTAGTAGTAGTAGTAGTAGTAGTAGTAGTAGCGGCAGCAGCAGTAGTAGCCGTAGTACTGGTCGTAGTCGTCGTCGTAGCCACAGCAGCAGCAGCAGCAAGCGGCATGGGAGTTAATTAGTTTTGGCCTTTTTGATGCTTCATGCTTGGGGCCAAGAGTGTTCGAAATTCGAGGTTGAAGGTTTGAATGTCACAGGTTTATGAAGCCTGTAAACCCAAAGAAGCACCGATTACCGAGTACCATCCCATCAAGCCTGCCGATACCACTCTCTCTGACACATAATCCTCGGTCTGGCAAAACCCACAAAGTGCCGACTACCCGACATTGCCCCAGCCTCGTACACCCTCTTTATCATCGAAGGCCTATGCTAAAGCCAGTCAGTTGAACTATTGAGCCCTCGGCCCTCACAAACTTTTCGGGTCGCACTACCCCAGCCTCCTAGACCTTGTAAATACTCTCATGTATGCTGTACCGGGAAACCCGCGTTTCGCCAGAGATCCTACGAAGTAATCTTAGCCTATGAACCTGAGGCATTTGCGGCGGGCCTGAAAGCCCCATACCATGAGCCTAGGATCTGCTTGACGAACAACCTAAATCTAGGCCTCCAAATCATATGGACCTGTGTCCCGGCAGGAAAAGGTAAAAGACCTAGTAACCAAATAGGCACGCAAATAAACAAACTCGCAAATGTACTTGCTTCGGTCGCAGAACAGCTCAAGCCTCGTAAATGCCAAAAGCTCCAACTCCACCCGAAACACACAAGCAGAAGATCAGTACTTATCCGTCAGGGCTCCTGAGGCCCTGCATATCTGAGACCAACACGGGATCCAAGAACCCGAAACTAAACTTAAGACTCTATTAAGACTCTAGGCTCTCATGCCTTGCTTGAAGCTCTCAGTCAGCGCAGCCCTAAGATCGGCTCTGCTGAGCAGCTCTGGATGTGGCCTTGTCTGCGGGGAGCAAGGACATAGTTGTGAACGTGATTCTACTCCTAGCACTACAAAACCTTCCCAAGGAGCTGTGATCATACGCACTGCCATCATTCCGAGTCTGCACAATCTCATCTACCACTACCATCTGACAACGAGTTGGCTCTTGTTGATGCTTACTCTTGTCGGCGCTACTGCCTCTTTAGCATTGTCATGTGCAGAGTAGCTTGCTGAAGTTAAAACAACTGATGATGATTTCTATGACTCCCTCTACCACGAGCACCACCACAACCACTATCGGGATGCTAGGTCAAGCCCAGCCAAGCCAAGCCAAGCTTAAGCCAAGCTAAGCCAAGTGATGCTGAAAAGACTTTACAACCAATACACTCAGCGCTCTTGTCCAGGAGCGTGTTTCAATAGAACGTCGTTCTACCATGATAACAGGCTCGAGGCTTGACTTCGAACAACAGTAGCAACACCACAAACATCATTCAACAACCAGCCACCACCACAAACAACACACACACACACACACACCACGACGATGACGAAAACGACGAGGACAACAGCGACGACAACACAATTACGAGGATGACAACGACAACCACAACCACAGCGACGCCCACACCAACAACCCACAACCCGGAACCGAACCAGCACTCAATAATCAACAACGACACAGACACTGCCACCACCACCAATTCAATTGCTCGTGCTCTGTGCTTGTCATGTGCATTGCCTGAAAAGCTACCGCTGCCACTACCACTACTACTACCACTCCTCTTCCTACTACTACTACTACCACCACTACCACTACTACTACTACTACGACGACGACTACTCTACTACTACTACTACTACTACTACTACTACTACTGCTACTACTACTACTACGACGACGACGACTACGACGACGACTACGACTACGACTACGACTACGACTACGACCACGACTACGTCTACGACTACGACGACTCCTCCTCCTCCTCCTCCTCCTCCTACTACTACTACTACTACTACTACTACTACTACTGCTACTACTACTACTACTACTACCACCACCAGGTTGTGGGAACTTCAGGACTTGGCGGTTCCAGCTCGTAGGCTGTGCATTGTTTGCAACTCTGTTTCGCAGGTATTCGCCACGGAGGAAAGCAGATCCGGAGAAAGCTCAAGGCGCCTGCGAAAGACCTTCCAGGGTTAAACCTCACTAGGCTTGGTTCTTACTTTCCAAAGCAGACACGGCTCCGCCGTTTAACGATGTAGGTAACAAGCTTTGGACTTGTGGCGTGACATCGAACACGGCGTGGCACTGCTGCACTTCTGGATTTCCCCTGAGCGGCCCGAGGAATCTTAGACACTGCGATGAAACGAACTGCGATGAAAGCTGAGGGCCGAACCATCCTTTAATGAAGTCTTGCGGCTGAGGGGCCTCAGTCGCAAAACTCGTGGTCAGCACCCCATTAATATGCCGAATTCTGGGACCCAAAAAGTAAGTCACAAGCCAACCTTGCAAGTTGCAAGACTCAAGAATCATGACCCCATGTCCCAGCATCCCGGATATTTCATTGGTGCTGCTGCTGCCCGTTGAAAACATGTTCATTGGAGTGTTGCTACTACCTGAGACTGCCAGTGCGGCTGTAGCTGACGCAACTGCTACCTCGTATGTGTGCTAAGACACTAGTAGTTATTGCCCCTACATTTATGGACATGGTTTCGGGGTGAAGTTTCAAGCATCAAATCCCCACAAGCAACATACTGAACATGAAACCAGGGCATTGGGGAGTCAACCGCACCACTCTTCGTGTAACCAGCCTCAGCAGTGCAATGCAGCTGTCGGCCACAGCTGCAAACCAAGAGAACACGGTTGCTGATTTCAATTTGAGGGTTTCAGATGTGAGCCGGAGCAGTTTGCACCTTCGTGGCCCAGGGCCTGCAGGGCACAGGTTGAGGAAGAGGTTTGCTCCAGCTGCTTTGATCGAAGCCGCGAGAACCATGTAGATGCACACACTACTTGCTACTTCGGGAATTGACAACAGTGCAACATAAACATACAGTCCGACTGCCAACTGTCACTGCCACCGCCACTGCCCTGCTGCTGCTGCTGCTGCTACTGCTTGTGCTAGTTCTAGTGCTAGTGCTGCTGCTACTAGTCCTGCAACTGCTCCTGCTCCTGCTGCTTCTACAACTTCTACTACCTCTACAACTACAACGGCCTGCTCCTGCTACTACTACCACTACCATTACCACTACCACTACTAGTACTACTAGTACTACTACTCCTGCTGCTACTACCACTACTCTACTGCTACCACCACTACTACCACCACCACCACCATCACCACCACCACCACCACCACCACCACCACTACTACTACCACCACCACCATGACCACGACGACGACGACTACTACTGCTACTGCTGCTGCTGCTGGCGCTATGGCTAGGGGTCCGATCCGACAGGGGTGCTAGGGCCAAGAGCCTTGGTTGAAGGTCAACAGCGTCGCCATCCGGGAGGCCTTGTCAGTGAAGCTTGGTTGCGAAAAGATTTTGAGAATTTTCGCCGGAGATTTGCTGTTGTTGGTGTTTTGCACTTCTTACGAAATTCCGACGTTGAGGCCCGTGGCAGTCCGACAGGTCTTGCCCCATGGCGTACTGTTGCAGTTTCAACGGCCCTCCAGAAGATAGACTGCAGGGACATACAGAACGAGCACAGCGGTCTCCCAAGCAAACCCTCGAGCTTTTTTCCGCTTCCCTTGGTTCCTACCATCCCCTGTGCCCATATACTGGTATGACCGAAGTAATCCGTACAGCCTTCATTTACCGACTAGCTCTGCTGTTGAAGAAGAAGTCTACGACCAAGGACCCTTCACCTATTTGGCATGAGTTAGGTATGAGCTTCATTCCAGTTACATGAGGTACTTCTTTGATTCGAAAGATCCCTTATCCGTTGTCAGAACCCCGAATCATGAATACAGACAAGTTTGAGGGCTGCTAAACTGGACACCCTAAAAACCCTGAGCCCTAAGGAACAATTCTAAAGTTCCTGTAGCTCTCCGAGGACGAAGACCGGGTCGAAGGACAACTCTCCGAAGCCGGTAGTCATCAAACCACACACGCCGCAGCGTGGAGATATGGAGTTTGTGCGTTCAGGGTATAGATTTTAAGACCTCGTTCAAAACAGGTTCAGGTTTAGATTTTTTGAAACCTCGTTCAAAAAAAGGTTTCGGTTTTTGGATGCGCAGCAAAGCGACACATGGCAAGTGTAAGCCCGAAGCCTCAGTCGCTTAATCTCGCAATGCCTTTCTTGTCTTTTTCATTTTCTGGTAGACACCTGCGAACCTATCCACTGGTGAGTTGTCGTTTAAAGGGATCCGAAGCTCAAGCAAGGCACCGGGTGTGCGAGCCGCTCGGCATGGTCTTTCCCAGTTTCGATTGCAGGAGAGTGGGGCCAAACATCAAACACTACTGTTGATGATCGAAATCCTGCATTACCTTAATGACCCTAAACTATGGGAATCATGGTATATTCCTTATTCTGGGTAATGCAGGATTTGTATCATCAGCCGTAGGGCAACAGCGTGCGCATCAGCAAGGGTGTGACAAAAAGACGAGTGGCAGACATGAGGCTGGCCCTGATAAGATGAGCAGAACCTTAATTCCTTAGTTCTGACTCACGAAATGATGAGAGAATCCGTTAGTGCAGCTGGCCATACGACCCGCAACAGCTGCTCATGGACAGTATTATTTTGAATGCTGGCCCCCAACCCCCTCAGCAACAGTTGAAGAAGACATACAGTATACATAGACAAGGCCCTTAATAGTACGATCACCCTGGACATGCCACAGTATATTTTGGGAGCTTGGGATTGGAGGGAGCGGCGCTTGAAGCGTTTGAGTCCTCCGAAAACCCAAACCCGAAACTCAGTTAGCTAGACAGACCATGTGGGCTTAGGGTTTAGGCTTTGGGGTCCTGGGAGACAATAGTCTAGCTCAAACCTTATCTGGAGAATACAAGAGCTGAGCAGAATGTCCGCATGATGGACATGAAGTCATAAGGAGGCTCACAGGACGCACAAGTGCCACCGGGCACTGCGAGCCCGGGCGTGTCGCAAGATGTGTGGTGAGGCAAACTCCACCAAATCTCGAAACCCGACTACTCTCCCGCATCAATCTTCGCATCACCCAATCCCAAACATTGAGTAAATTGGACCCCAGCGCAAAGAGCGTGTGCGAGTTGTTCAGATTCTGAAAATCTCACGAACCCCCGGCCCGATATCCCCAAATCGGGTGGCGGCAGGGTGTCCGCTCCGACGATCCGAGGCTGCTGCGAGCATTGCTGCTTGAGTTTAGCATGGCCTCCTTCCAGCACGCAGTTGAGGACCTGAAGCGCAAGGCTCCTGCAGTGCAGGATCATGCAATACTTGGAGGCCCTTTTGACTTAGTAAGTCTACTTAGTATCCCCCAGGAGCCCTATTATAATCCCCATAANNAAGTCAAAAGGGCCTCCAAGTAGTGGGGTTTAGGGCCTTTAGGGTTTAGGGTCCTGTAATGTGGAATCGGCATGCTTCGTTAATTGTGTTATCGCCCCAGAGTTCCCATGGAATTATGGTATGACGCACGCCGAGACCCCGGTCTAATTATGAAGACCTCTGCAACTAAGGGCTTTTACCGGCTTGACGGATTCGGAATTTACATGGGGGCAGCTTAAGGTGGCGTATTGCAGTCGTCAGCACTGCTGGCCATACCGTTTAGAGACTTGGCACCTGCCCAAGGGCCCTGCAACAACTCGAATCTTTTTGCTCGCATCGCCCGAATTCCTTACTGCCCCGAAGCCGGAAGTGTCCTAATCCTACATACGAAGCAGCACCTCAGCGCTAGATGCCCAAACCTTTACCGTTGCATGAGGGGGGATGTTAGAGGCCTGCAGGAAGAGCTGTCAGAAAGCGCGACCTGCGACACTCCAGCACCACTGGATCCGCGCGAGAAGTCCCGAGTGAGACAATTTGCTCTGCCTTGGAGCATCCTGGAAATCAGCTCCGCTGTACTTGGAGCAAAAATTGCACCGGCGAATCGCGGATAGTCAAGTCTCAAGCAGTTGAAGCCAGATGCCCAAACCTAAACCCTAAAACCCTCGTATATGCAGGACGTCGGGCTGTTATGGACAGGGGCACTCCTTCTTAGCAGGGTCTTTTATACTGGGGATTATGGTTCAAGCTTCCTGAGAAGTTTCACCAAACAGACCACAAGCCTGACCTGCATAAACCCTAAACCATAAACCCCTAAACTCTAAACCCGTAAAGGCCCTAAACATCACTCTTTTTCGCGTCTTGAGCTGCCAAGAGCTCATTGAACATCAGAACTTCGCAGGCAGGAGATCGAAACTGTCGCTCATTGAAATGCACCGAAGATTTCCGTTCAATGTGCAATTTACCCCAACTCACCAGAACCCCGCCATTCGAAAGTCAGGAATGTCTATCTTTGAAGCCGCCAGGCTGACTTAGAGCGTGGCCGCGCCGCTGTGCAGTCTGGCGAGGCTTTGCCGGCACAGGCGCCCATCCAAAGCAGATCGGGGGCAATTCTTTAAAGGCTTGAGGGTTTAGTGTTGAAGACCGTCACCTTCATGACGCTGAATTGGGACTTTCCGCTTGAGGAGTTCGATGAGGGTTTTTGCAGGGTCTGTGGTTTTTGATGTTTGGGGTTCGGGTTTCGCCGCATCCCATCGCTTGCCATACTGCCCCGCCTGCTTTGAAACCCGTTATTTGGCTGGAGACTTCCGATGTTCATAGCAAAATGTTTTTCAGCAGAGCCCCGAGCTCCCGAGCCGGTTTTTGATTTCCTAACCCAGAGAACCCAATACCCCTCGATCAAGGAATATACCTTACACCTTACTATTAACGCCCCTATAATTTAAGGTATATTCCTTACTTAAGGTGTATTGGGTTCTCTGAGGAGCCGGTTTTTGGATTTCCTAACTTGGGTCAACCTACCGAAGGACCCAGCAGGCTACTACAGCCTCGCAGGGCGCGGGCCCTTGGCGCTCCAGGCAAGATGAATGCAGTATGCAGAGGTGTGCAGGACGGCTGTGTGCCCGAAAAACGGAGAAGATGTAGAATCTAAGAATTCCGCACGACATCGTGTGCGTCTGTCGAAGGTTCTGGATTGCGAAACCTGGGCCGGGGTTGGTAGCTTAAGCTTTGGTTCTTTGCAGGTTCTGTCCAGTTTGATTTTGAGCCTTTCATGGGCTTTCTCATCTCGCATGAAGCCCCGCATCTCAGACGCACAGACCGATTGTAAGGTACTTTTGCTCTCCCTCTCGCTATCGCTGGCTCGCTCTGTCTCTCTCTCTCTCTCTCCGTCGCTCTCTCTCTGTTGATAGGGCTGATAGGGAGGACAACAAGGGGGGAAGATAGAGAGAGAGAGGGAGAGACCGAGAGAGAGACAGAGTGAGAACGAGACTTGAGCACGACCCAGACGATGAAATACAAACCTAGTCCCAAGCCTCGAGCCCGAAGCAACTCACGTTCTGCAGGTGTACCGGCTTGTTCTGCCGTGGTTTGGCTTCGAGGGTACAGAGGACCAGGGATTCTTGACCCATGCATCTTTACAGGTTGAGGGGTGATGAATGGTGATGAATCTTGTGCGGGCCTCGTTCTCAGCTCAAAATTTAAGGGTCGCAGAGATTCAGTCGGGTTGTGAGGACGATCGGTCATCGATGACTATGACACGTTCTATCGCGAGTCCAATGTGAGTAAACACAGCGAGAAAGCAGGGTGACAGCATGCTTGGAATGAAGATTCCAGGCAGGCGCTTCGGAAAGGATTGCAGGGGCGGCCTTCTGACTTCTTCACCAGAGCTCGGCAGGTCTAGTTGGAAGCGATGCGATTTCTTTATAATCGCAGGATGGCGTCAAAGAGATGATCGTCCATTGCGCAGCTTACCTCGGAGATGCCGAGGCGCAACACCGAGTTTCGAAGTTCGAACGAACCCGTGCCGCACCGAAACGACACCGGGCTTCCCTTGGATCGGATCATTGTCCTTACTGTTTCGCTTCGGTCTGGAGACGGGGGATGCTTAAGCCATAAGCGGTGCCTGAAACCTAGCACGAGAGCATTGCCAACATCCAAGCTAGCCTTTGATTCCTTCTGCAGCTACAGGCAAGCCAAGAAGGCTGCGTCTGCACAGCGCCCCCTACAAGCTTGCATATGCTTTGCTTTTCTGCTATTATCGGGTCTAGTACAGTAGAGTCCGGCAGGCTTGACTGGCCCTTTCAACCCCAGACTCGAGATAGCCAAAGTAATGCCGCAGACTACCTGCCGGAGGTTGCAAGGCTCGTGGATGCCGTCAACCTGAAGCTAGGCATGACGAAGGACAGGAGGGAGGAGGTACTTGGTTCGACAGCTACAGTTACAGGCCCGTAAACCTTGTTTGATTGCTGAACCTATGGAGCTTTGGTCTTAAGGGTCCCGTTGATCTGCGCAGCTACACAGGCTGGCGGGAGCTTTCAGCTACCCCAGGCCACCAAAGTCAGAATTAGGCCGGGCACAGGAGCTTGGATATCACGCACGAATAGTGCATCTGCTCTTACATCCAGACCAGGAGGCAGCATTCTTAAACCATCCGACAGCTACTGCAGAAAAGAACCCCAGGAAACAGAAACACCCTGGATCGCAAAAGGCAGATATAGTTTCCGAATCTTCTTCGAAATTCTGCTACAGCCTCACAGCGAACCTTCAGCCTCCGAAGGCCATCTGTACCTTGAGCTCACCAAATGAGATGCCCAAAGCCCAAGCCCCAGCCACGGCCCCCTGCAAGGATGCTTGCATCCGATTCCGCACCTTACTTGCCAACCTGGAGTCAGAAGCGTAGCCGTAGCCCCCGGAAGACAGGGTTCACGCCTTCGTGAGTTTGGGGTATAGAACAGTATGGGGTCTGGGGTTTAGGCGTTTCAATTCAAATGCTAGGCAGATGGTCTGGGGTGGGTTGCGGACACTGAGATTTCGAGGTTTGGATGCATTTGAGACATGAAACATATTGTATGATTTGGTCTCTAGGCTTCAGCACCGTTCGCATCACTTATCGGTTTAGGACTTATGTGTTCGGAGTGTTCATGTCGGCTTTAGGATTGAAATTCGCAACATGTCCACATGCACATGTACTTAATGCAGAAACCTGCAGAAAGCATGTACGCATGCATGTCTGTATGTACATACGTATGTATCTGTGTAATGTAAGTATGTATGAATGCATGTATGTATGCATTAAAATTTCTATGACGACCACATTTATAATACATACATAGATGTAGATATGCATGAATGTGTGTGTGTGTGTGTGGGCATACAGACATACAGACATACATGCATACATGCATGCAACCATGCATGCATACATACGTACACATACATGCATACATACATACATACATACATACATACATACATACAGACAGACATACATACATACAGACATACATACATACATACATACATACATACATACATACATTCCATTCCATTCCATTCCATTCCATTCGATTCCATTCCATTCCATTCCATTCCATTCCATTA